ATAGGTATTATATGTTATAATGTATTATTTTAAGATAATGTAATATGTTGAGAAATGAATGAGGGTAAAATTTTAATGTTTAAATGTAACCATGTGGAATAAAGATGAAACTATACATGAATCTTGTTGTGATGTTGAAAGTACAAGGAAGTGGAATGCTTTAGAATAAAATGTATATTTTGTACACGAGCATTCCTTGATGTCATAAATATTGCCAAATTTATGTAAATTCAAATAATAGTAATATTACTCGTTCGAGCAATATATAGTTTTTCAAATGATAATACTTTAGTACCACTAAGCAGGTAGTTGTAATTTCTTGCCTTTCAGTACTTTGGTAATGTAGAGGTAGAAAAAGTCACAATAGAGAACTGTTTGTACTATACCAGCCACTATAACAATTAGATCGTAATAATTTTCTCCGTAGTAACGATAAATCCAATTTAATAAATATAAGCCTCTGTAAGACCCTAAAGCAAAAAGATAATGGCTGGTGATGCTCTCTGCTTCTCCTGTCTTTGAAACCAAAAATAACTGCGGCAATATTGCTACAGACTCCAAATAAATGCTAAATGTCCACAGAATCTCCACAATTGTGAATTCATGGTTGATTAACAATGCCAATACCAATGTAGGCAAAAGTAGAAACTCAATTCTAAAAGTAATAAATAATATCAGAAATAGATCTTTCACGATATATACGTAAATCTATGAATAAGATTTATGTTTAATTCATTTTACGTACCTAAATGTATCATGATTATGATCATATGTAGCTTTAAACTTTACATACATTAAATACACTATTGCAATGGAAGTAGCAATAAAAATAATTTTCATAAACATATTATATGCTGAAATATATGTTGTTATCAAGTCTAGGTAACGTGTTATATATACAATTGCAAATAGAATTTGTGATTTGCCACTGATACCTGTAAAATAATTGAAAAAATATATTGAGATCTTGACATATTAAATACAAAATGCCAAATATCAAGCAAGAACAATTATTTCGATACAGTATAAGGGATTTTAAATATAACAGAGATATCAATGACGTGAGCAATACATACCGGCACAGCTTCGCGTCTTCCATATTTTAAGAAGAAGGACAATAATTGCAAGAAGATGTGACAAATCACCTAAGAGCCGAAATACGTTCATATTCTCGGTGGTTGAAAAGCAATTTTTATATGAAAATCGAGAAATACTTCACACACCTAACTCACAAAGCATACAAAATATGACGTGGCTCTGGCTGTAATATCAGCAGATGGCCGACTGGGCCGACTAATCAACCTCCTAGCTAATGTTGTCGTGTTCAACACTCAACAAGCATTCATAAAGTATACGATGTATATGAACATTTATTTCTTTCAGATTGAGATATTTTAAAGATTAAAAATGTTGAAACTACAGATTGTTTCTGTTATGATAAAATGGTCAAAATAAATAAAATATATTTATTACATCAATTATCAAATAATCATACATTCATCATATAAAGTATGTTCATTACGAGCAAGGAATTCTAAAGATACATTCTTAACATTTCTCTAATGTGTTATCAAGTATTAATTATATAATGTCAGCCTTGTGAACTGCGTACAGTGCAGTTTGGCACGCCACGACGTTCTAATCTATAATATAAAGTTCTATGGTATAAAGCACATATAGCTCTGGAGCTCATCTTCATCGATGCAGTGTTGCTCTGCGATAGTTTGTGTGTTTGTCATCTACCAGCAATGACCAGCAACCAACTCTACCTCTATCTTGAATCCTGATCAATTCTGATTGCATCTTGCATCCTCCGGCTTTTCTCAGATCTTCCATTTCATGTACCGTTATCCGTCCTTCAGGTCCATGAAATACAATTTACCCGAATACACCCGAATATCATCTATATCTTAATACTAATTTAATTGGATGATACTTCACAAAGCAATACATAGCAATAAGTAACAAGTAATAAACAGTATTTTTTACATTCAATGAACTAGAATTTCTTCTGATCTATTTGTTCGAT